ACAGACATACATACATACAGACAAACAGACACTCAGCTTTATATATAAGATACTCTCTAGTATTAAATAGCATTAAAGTCTTCCGAGAAGCTTTGGGAACCGTTTTGTAGAGCTGGCTTCAACTTAGATTTACAGTATGGAGCAAATTAAGAATCTCCCTTCATTACGGTGAGCATGGTAGGAACTTGCAGCATATGGCGCCATTGTGAAAAAGGCCGTTTGGAAAAAAATCTCCAAAAAAATCTGAAAAATTGTGTAACGAGGTTTTCGTGCATGCTGATAACAGCGCATAAATTTTTGCGCTTTCGTAGGGCGTTTTATAACTGATGAAAAGTGCGTTACAGTGCGAGTTTCATGTTTAAAATCAGCGACACTGACTAACCTAGTAGGAGCTTTCAGCTTCTTTGGTTCAATTCTAGGGATAAAAAATGACCCTTATACAATCAAAACCTTCCTCAAAGTTTCTATTAATCCTACAGTGATGAAGAGAGATTTTTTATTTTGAAACCGGCTCTATAAAATGGTACCCTCTGATTCAACGGGAATGATTAGAGAGCACACTCGTGGGAGAGACGCAGACTGCGTCGCGGGTGCGAGCGGTCGCCTTCCAACCACCAATCCCGTGAAATCGAAGGGTACAATTTTGTAGAGCCGGCTTCAACTTAGATTTACAGTATGATGCAATCAAAAATACCTCTTCATTACTGTAGGATTACAGTAGAAACTTTGAGGAAGGTTTTTCAATGTATAAGGGTCATATTTACCTAAAATAGAACTAAAGAAGCTGAATTCCTACACTAAATAAATCAAAGCGACGACTTCAAACATGAAACTCGCACTTCACCGTGGCGCACTTTTTATCAGTTATAAAAAGCTCTACGAAAGCGCAAAAAATTGTATGCTGATATCAGCATGCATGAAAACCTCGTTACACAATCAGATTTTTTTGGAAACTTTTCAAAACGTTTTCACAATGGCGCCATATGCTGCAAGTTCCTACCGTGCTCCTACCGTAATGAAGATAGATTCTTCATAAGCTGAAGCCAGCTCTACAAACGGTACCTAGCGTCTCGAAGAGTTCATTACAACAAAGTTATAAACAGTCAAACATAGGCACATCTTTTTGAGACCCCTGTATATAGCATTACATAATACAGTAGTGAGGCTGCACTTCCGTTTTGTACGGAGTGTGACAGTGCAGGGAAGTCAGCAAGTTTAGAGCGATTAGAGCGTTAACATCGTTTCTTTACGAGAAGTGTGTTCAAGAAGTGTGAGGCTCTATGTGCAGAGAAACCATGTCATGGAGGTCTCGCTCGTGTTTAACAGCACTTCACCCCTTCACTCGTACTTTGTGATGATCTCGGAATTCAATATTGGATTTGATCTTCCTGACACCGGTTCGTTATTCCGATGAAAATGCCCTTTCACATGCATAAACATGTTGAAATGGTCTAATCGTACTCCCAGTTTATTATTTAGATATAATGATTTGCAAGTTCAGATACCACGGCCATTATGAGTGACCATCGTTTAGCGCTCAACAAGGAATTTTATTTCAAGTTTAATTTCGTTAATTCATACAAGAATCAATTTGAAGGGAAAAAAATTTTGCATACAGTACTTGTATTATCGTGATTTTGTATTCTAAGACTGTGGTGGCTAGGAGAATTGCTGCTATATGGTTCAAATGAATATGTGATAAAACGTTTTCTGTTTAATCCTAGAGACTAACAATTTTTGTGCCCCCCCCTCACCCCTTCGACGTGAGCTATTCGGACCCTTTCACTTATGAGGCTCAAAAACAGCCGACCCATTACTAGGGATACCAGACTCAGACTATCTGTGTATCGTCGAATCGTTAACAGCACGGACTGCTCAAACGCTGCGGACCACGCGCGGCACGGCTAGTTGGGAGAGCACGGGTGCGACTGGTGTGCGTGCGATGGCGACTTTGTACTGAAGCAAGCATTTTATCTCCCGGCGCGTGGTCCGCAGTGATGTCCAGTCCGTGCGGTCAATCTTATATATAAAGCTGAATGTCTGTTTGTATGTCTGTCTGTATGTATGTATGCGTGTACGTATGTTCCGAATAGAAAATTCCATTTCTGAACCGATCCGGACCAAACTTGGCACACATACACTTCGGGCCCCGGCGGGTGTCATAGGCTACTTTTCGTCATCGATCGATATCGATTTTATCGATTTTTATCGATTTTTTTGCAGAGTTCACCTACGGGGCTGGGAGTTGGCAAAGGGGGGTAATCGAGCATGGGGATTCCGAATACAATATTGGTTTTCAGGATTATCGATTACTTTTATCGATTTTATCGATTTTTTTGCAAAGATTGAGCTACGGGGCTGGGAGTTGGCACAAGGGGGTATTCGAGCATGGGGATTCCGAATACAATATTGGTTTTCAGGATTATCGATTACTTTTATCGATTTTATCGATTTTTTTGCAAAGTTTGAGCTACGGGGCTGGGAGTTCGCACAGGGGTGTAATCGAGCATGCTGATCACCCCCCTTGGGGATGATCAGCATGCTCGATTACCCCCCTGTGCCAACTCCCAGCCCCCTATCTCAAACTTTGCAAAAAAATCGATAAAATCGATAAAAGTAATCGATAATTCTGAAAACTAATATTGTATTCGGAATCCCCATGCTCACTTCCCCCCCCCCCTGTGCCAATCCTAGCCCTGTAGGTGAACTCTGCAAAAAAATCGATAAAAATCGGTAAAATCGACATCAATCGATAACGAAAAGTGGACTGTGACACCCGCCGGGGCCCGAAGTGTATGTGTGCCAAGTTTGGTCCGGATACGGCGGAGCCGGGTAAGCCAGCTAGTAGATTATAAATAAAGCTGTATGTATGTATGTACCTATGCCTGTTTGTTTGTCTGTCTGTCTGTCTGTGCGTACATATGTTCCTAATCTTATATATAAAGCTGAATGTCTGTTTGTCTGTATGTCTGTCTGTCTGTCTGTCTGTCTGTCTGTCTGTATGTCTGTACGTATGTTCCGAATAGAAAATTCCATTTCTGAACCGATCCGGACCAAACTTGGCACACATACACTTCGGGCCCCGGCGGGTGTCATAGGCTACTTTTCGTCATCGACCGATATCGATTTTATCGATTTTTATCGATTTTTTTGCTGAGTTCACCTACGGGGCTGGGAGTTGGCATAGGGGGGTAATCGAGCATGGGGATTCCGAATACAATATTGGTTTTCAGGATTATCGATTACTTTTATCGATTTTATCGATTTTTTTTGCAAAGTTTGAGCTACGGGGCTGGGAGTTGGCATAGAGGGGTAATCGAGCATGGGGATTCCGAATACAATATTGGTTTTCAGGATTATCGATTACTTTTATCGATTTTATCGATTTTTTTGCAAAGTTTGAGCTACGGGGCTGGGAGTTCGCACAGGGGGGTAATCGAGCATGGGGATTCCGAATACAATATTGGTTTTCAGGATTATCGATTACTTTTATCGATTTTATCGATTTTTTGGCAAAGTTTGAGCTACGGGGCTGGGAGTTGGCACAGGGGGGTAATCGAGCATGGGGATTCCGAATACAATATTGGTTTTCAGGATTATCGATTACTTTTATCGATTTTATCGATTTTTTTGCAAAGTTTGAGCTACGGGGCTGGGAGTTCGCACAGGGGGGTAATCGAGCATGTCATCCCCAAGGGAGGTGATCAGCATGCTCGATTACACCCCTGTGCCAAATTCCAGCCCCCTAGCTCAAATTTTCAAAAAATCGATAAAATCGATAAAAGTAATGGACGATCTTGAAAACTAATATTGTATTCGTAATCTGCATGCTCGATTACCCCCCTGTGCAAACTCCCAGCCCCGCAGGTCAAACTTTACAAAAAAATCGATAAAATCGATAAAAGTAATGGACGATCCTGAAAACTAATATTGTGTTCGTAATCAGCATGCTCGATTACCCCCCTGTGCAAAATCCCAGCCTCGCATGTCAAAATTTACAAAAAATCGATAAAATCAATAAAAGTAACCGATAATTCTGAAAACTAATATTGTATTCGGAATCCCCATGCTCACTTCCCCCCCCCCCTGTGCCAACTCCTAGCCCTGTAGGTGAACTCTGCGAAAAAATCGATAAAAATCGGTAAAATCGTCATCGATCGATTACGAAAAGTGGACTGTGACACGCGCCGGGGCCCAAAGTGTATGTGTGCCAAGTTTGTGTGCCAAGTGTGTCCGTGTACGGCGGAGCCGGGTAAGCCAGCTAGTTGCATCTATGGACCTGACTGGTCAAGCACGTGATTGAACGACTGATATACAGGGTGGCCGGTAAGTATGGGCGTTACAACATATAATATATCTTTTTTCTGAAATAATCTATCATGGCGGCTAATATGCCTGTAGCTTACGGACAGTCTCTATATTGAGATGAGTGAAAACCACGCAAACTGAAGTCTTCTGATGCAAACGGGACTCCTAAGTCTACTTTCTCTTGAAAGGCGCTGCGGCGCGTTCAGCTGACACCATATTTATAGTACCGTGTCTTATTTTGGAGAGGATAATTTTTGCTGTTACAGCACTGCATTATTCCTCGGGGTGGGCTCTACAAAACCTCAGGTCTTAGATTCTATTCGATTGATAATCGGGTTATTTCAAGGGGTTTGCAATGGGTTCACTCTTTAAGTAGCATTTTTGACGCATCAAATTCAAGATAAGCTACTGAAGTTTGTATGCATGCGCAAGAATCCAGTCTTGCAGGAGTAACACATTAAGATGCCCGTGTTCTTGGCAAAAATAGTCTTACAGAATTTTGTTTGCTATGGGAAATCATTGAACGAAAAATGTGACGCCCATACTTTCGCCACCCCGTATGACGTCCCATAGGAGTATATCTATTAATCTCTAGATTTCTGATCGGAAGCTGTTTAACAAGATGAAACAGTATGAGCTGCTTGCTACATCGCGCTTTTGGAAGGCCTCTTCGGAAGCGATATCGTCAGTACCTTCCATAATGTCCCTATATGCTTCAGCTTGCACATACAGTACTGAGAGATCATGTGGTAAAAGCGAAAAAAGAGAACGTTGCTCTGCTGAAGAAGCCGAAGCATTTCCAACTCCCAACGCTTCTTGAACTGGTTTAGCCGACTGAAATGAAAAAAAATTAGTTTAAAATGAGCGCATGCAAAAAATGAAAGCAGTTCTTCTGAAACTGAAGCAGAATCTAATTGAGAATACTCAATCGTTTCCAGCGCTACATATCCCAGTTGTCTCAAACTCACCGCCATGAGCGTTGAGATTTTCGAGCGGAGACTTTTCAGTCTTTGCTCCTTCCCGTTTATGCTACTGATTAGCACATTACGACGTCCTTCCTGCTCTGTCAATGTGTCCATGAGCCTGAACAGCCAGCCCTTGTTGGACGCCTCAGACACAAGCAAACAATGTGGGATAATAATTCACGCTTTTCTTTGTGCAATCTCCCAGGTCAATCGGGCCAGTCTTTGCTCGTGCTCATTAGTTTTCGTTACTTCTGGACGGGAAACACCTTCCGGAGCAGTGGCATAGAATTCTTCCAGCGATACCATATCGATTTCTTCATCACCCGCACTTGAAAAAAATAATAATTTTTGACAAGAAAGTGCAAAAAAAGACGTCTCAAAAAGAGATGAACTTGGCAGGTATGATCGTACGCGTTCATACCGATCAAAGCATGATACACGATAACTATGTACAGTGATGAACAGTTTCATAAATTAATCCTAGAGAACGCCGTATCTCAATAAGACTTATTAGGTTGGCACATGAGTTTTGCAACTTATTTCGTAACTTTCCTCTTCCTGACTGTGACGCATTTATTTTTGAACATAATGCACAGTCGAGTAGATTTTCCGCTTAATATAATGTGCTTGCACAGTATGGGAAATGCGGCAAAATTTGCGCGTAAGGAAATAGCTTCGACCGTGACGATTGCGTGTGCAAAATGCCGGCAGTGCTGGCGCAGCTACAGGCCCCTCCACAGCTCGTGCTACCCTTGGTCTGCGTTTCAGACCCCCACGTGTGGCTACCATGTTGGCAACGTGGTGGCAACGTGTTTGCAACATGCCACAACATGTTGGCAGAACGTTTAGGCCACGCCAACATGTTTCTGCATGTTGCCAACGTGTTGCTGCCAACGATGTCAACGTGTTAGTCACACGTGGCACATCCGCGACGCCAGAAGGGTAGCAGCAAATGCGGAGGGGACGATACCTGATCACGGGCAAATTTTACCGCATTTCATAAACTGTGCAAGCACACTATATTAAGCGGAAAATCTACTCGATTGTAGATTAGGTAGAAGGCTACAAATGTGCGCACAGTTGATTTTTGGTATCGAAGTGGTGAAAATTTACGCATTTTTCGAAACTGGTTGAATTAGAAATTTCGAGGTCGAAAAACCAAAAATAACGCTGTTCTTAGCCTGAATCAAACACATCAAAACACATCAAGTCGCTAAAAGTGTTTGAATCATTGGAGTTTCCTCTATCAACAATCTGGGTACAGTTTTGGCCTTGATTTGTCTGATGACTGAGAACGGCTTAATTTTTGGTTTTCGGGCCCTTGAAATTTCGATAAGGGCGTAGTTTTTCTTCCCTCGCTACCAAAAAGCAAACTATTTGCATACATTTGTAGCCTACCACCTAATCTATGGTGCATTTCCCAAAATTATTCCCATACTAGCTTGCTTACCCGGCTCCGCCCGGCCCTGTCAAAACATTGTAATAAAGGTCCCATCCCCATCCCTGCACAGCCTTTCCCTGTGCCCATTTCTACACTTCATTTCCAGTTTCCTGTGTTCTACACTTCATTTCCCGTTCCCTGTGTTGTTTTCGAAATCAGCATGCACATTTACCCCCCTGTGCAAACTCCCAGCCGCGTAGCTCAAACTTTGCAAAAAATCGGTAAATTCGATAAAAGTAATCGATAATCCTGAAAACCAATACTGTATTCGGAATCCCCATGCTCGACTACCCCCCTGTGCCAACTCCCAGCCCCGTAGGTGAACTCTGCAAAAAAATCGAAAAAAATCGATAAAATCGATATCGATCGATGACGAAAAGTAGCCTATGACACCCGCCGGGGCCCAAAGTGTATGTGTGCCAAGCTTGGTCCGGATTGGTTCAGAAATGGAATTTTCTATTCGGAACATACGTACACACAGACAGACAGACAGACGTACAAACAGACATTCAGCTTTATATATAAGATGAACCATCAACATGGCTGTCTTTCGAACGTTTCTACATGTCAACTTTGAATAAGATTTGCTGGAGTTACCATGTTAAATCGATCGAAAGGCAGCCAAGTTGATGGTTCATATGGGAACAATTCTGGGGAATGTACGATACATTATGTCCAAGAATGAATGCGTCACAGTCAAGAAGAGAAAAGTTGCGAAATACGTTGCAAAACTTATGTGCCATCCTATATGCCATCCATGCCTTACATCCTAATACAAATCTCGCTATTCTTGTACATAAACGTCAGTGTAGCATCATCATCTGAGGCGGCTAAGAATCTCGTTGCATTTGTTTGGTGAAAATATTTAATTCAAAACCCGTACAGAAGGCCGGACACCATGTGAACTTCTTACAAGCATTATGCGCTCTCCACTTCTGAAATTATAGCAATACGTCTCAAAGTGAAATATTTCAACAAGCGAAAGCTGCTGCTCATAAGGAGGATTAATGCAATTTCTACTTCTTTTTCCGGCACAGAAGATTAAGTGAAATTTCTACTGTTTTTGAGAATCGGTACGTTTTGGAAAAGCCATAAGATTGGCCGAACCTTCTTGAAGAAACCGAGGAGCTAAGATTGGTTGAACCGGGTAGAGGTACGAACGCTGTGCCAAACGGTGGTTCAAACTTTTACAAAAAGGATTTATTCGGGAATATAGCAATAATATAACAACAATGACGTCCTTTTTACCCGGACCAGGTGCAAATTGATGGATGCGAAAGAGACATGCTTATCACTCCCAGCCCCCTGCTTTTATAGCAGGGGAGCTGGGCAAACAGTTCTATCGGGAGCCTGCCGAAGAGGTCGCCATGTCGGCGACACTCCCGGGGGCGGCGAGTCTAGAATATGAGTACAGTCATGAACAAAAAAGGAAGTAAAAATGAGAACAACCATACAGGCATGAAAAAACCATACAATTATGAGATGAAACCTACAAATACGGTATCAATTTTTTTTGTGCGATACAATCATATCGAAAGTTGCAGAAATGAAGTTAAATACACAACATACTATTAGAACTTTCTTCTTTTGTGCGGTAGGTGTTTTGGAGTGTGCCGGAAGCCGCGTACCGGACACAACAAGGTGTTGTGCGGCTCGGCAGTGGTTGCAGCTCGCATCGCACGGTTCGTCGTGGCTCCTCCGGAGGCACCGGTCACATAGGCCCAGGCGCGAAGCCTGGACCGCGCGTGACACGGGGTCGGGATATTTTGGACAGCGGCCCGACGGATGGCTGGCTTCGCCCTCGGGGCAGAATACGCAGGAGGATGTTCGCGGTTGGTTCGCCGCCTCCAAACGATGCTGGCGAGCGTCCAAGGCCGCGAATAGGTTCAGAATAGTATCCAGCTTAGTATCGATGGCCATTAGAGCCTGGACGATGGGGGATTGGCGTTGTTCAACGTCCATTTCTTCGACGATTTTGGCGATGACGGGCATACTGATTACCACCGCTATCTGTGTAGACGTTTTTATACATGTTAGCTTGATATAACCCATTATCTATGTAAGCTTGATATGATACATTATCTATGTACAATTTGCTCATTTATTTGCATCAAAGATTAGCCGCGTATCCTAGTTTTTATCGGCGATAGGATAGCGAGCAGCAGTTTGAACGTTGAGGTCACTATCGCAGAGGCGATGCCCCAGGCAATTTCAAGCATGGCCCAGGCGACCTTGATTAGCATAATTAGTGCTGCTGGTCCGCACAAATATGTCATTCCTATTGCAAGTGACATTGCTGCTATGGCCGCTGCGGCTACCTTCCATTCTTTTTTTAACGTTTTGAGAAGTGGTTGCATGTCTGGGATATGCACATCGCTGATCGCATTTATCCAGTTTCTACTCTCTGATTGCATTTCGAATAGAATACTCTGTAGATGTCTGGCGTGGTAGTGTAATGTACCATCTAAATCGATCTCAATTCTTTTCTGAGCGCAGATTGCATAGCATTTTTGCTCTACAGTTGCTCTCTCGAAATGTAGTATTGTTGTAGTTGTACGATTGGATTCGTCGCAATTGATCGTGAATGAGTGATCGTTACATAGCACCGTTACAGATGATGGTGTAGACGCCTTGCAGTAGCTGACGACTTCCGCTCCACTCTGACATTCATAGCAACCGGTTATGGAACCAAATATGACCGAGCAGGGTGAGTCGACTCTATGCTGATTGATGTCAACCATTAGCTTGGATTGGATTGTTAGTGTGACCTCACCATCCTGACTTGTTGCGAGGATTTCATTCTCCGTTTTTGCGATTTGTAGGCTTGCTGTATGGATTGGCAATATATTAGCTTCATCCTGCCGTACATCGCTTAGCGATTTTGTTGAGCACTGGCAATTTTTTGGTACTTTGAACGTTGCGCAAGCGCAGATCATGCGGTTTGTGCACTTTTCGAAATTGTCAGTTGCTTGCTGCCGCGTTTCGCATTCCACCGGTAACTCGTAGCCGTTTGGGATACTTAGAGCTTCATGTTCAGCAATTGCGAAACGCTTATCCATCAGCATGGAGTGCGGCTTGCTTAGCGAGATGATATTAAGAGTGATCTGCTCAAGCTGCTGCGGTAGATAGGGTTGTAATACTATATCTTTGCTTAATGCTATGCCCCCAATATTCATGTCCAACTCAAAGCTGATTTCCGGGGTCCATTCCACGCAGCTGATGACATCGTAGATTTTATCATCTTTTGAGATGTGCGCTACGCGAATATAAGAGCATGCCGGTGTGATAAGAAAGCACCCGCAGAGCAACCCGCCGCATGTGTGCTCGCAGGCGGAATAGCCTGGAAATTCCGAAGCGAATTCTAGTTCTGGGATTGTTTCATTGTGCATGAGGGTGTTGCAGTTATTATTGAAACATGACCCTGCTCCATCACACCTAGTGGTGTAGAATATTCGATGTGTGGTATCTCGCGTATAGAAATGGGACAGCTTGGAACATTTCATAATCATCTCCTTTTTCGTGATTTTGATTGTACCCAAGGTTTGATTTGCGTGCCTTATGCTAATACAAAGACGCTTCTGTAGGCGATTAAAGAGTATTTCCTCATTGTATTCATAGGAACAGTCTTGGTTTTGACATGTTACTTCGACCGTATGTCGCATGTACCCATGTTGGCATGATGCTGCTGTGCTAATCATGGATGATAGGGCTAACAGTATGACTATGAGTTGGATAGGCCTAATGGGTTGGGGTTGAAGCTATCAAGTACGATGTTTGTCTCGGGATTAGATGCTACGTCTGGCCTTCGTGTGAGCAGCCGTTTCAACCCCCATAACACCATCATTAAGATTGTTACTAGGGCGTACATGGATAGTGCAGTAGTTATCACTGCACCTGTTGGCCAACAATGTGGGTTTCCCAGTAAAGATGTTGTCATGATCCTGCTTGAGTGATCGCAGTATGTATGAGATTTACATAACTGAGTGACCGAGAATGTCGGGGTTGTGAGGTTCACATGAAATTGCCCCTTGGTTTTCGCGGGAGGGATGCTTATTGACATGGCTTGAGTGTTATTTTCGAATACTTTGCATGTATTACTCACACATAACCTGAATGGTTCTGCAAGCTCTCTAATGTTAAGTATTCCTTCTGCGCACTCCATAGGTCCCTTCCTCAAAGCTTCCACACTATTACAGCTGTATAGGAGGATGAGGCTAATTATTGTCATGACCCGAGAGATATGAGGGGATGATGTGCTTTGCAAACTTCGTTCAAAGTTTTGAATGACTTCGTAGGCGCGAGTCTTAGATTCTCGAGGCGGATTTCGTCTACTAGACTGCGCTTGCAAGAGATTTTCGCCAGTGTCAGCATGTGTGTCGTGTTGTACGCGTGTTTGCTGAGCTGGATGTTCATCCTGCTGAATATTTTCTGGCAGCGTTGCTGTTTCTTCCATGTTTGCCTCTTCAGTACATTTGATTTCTAGAGGGGACAGCTTATTCAAAGGCCTTTGTAGAATTTTATGATTTGGTGTAAGGATTTTGGCTGACCTTATCAGACCGTCTGCACTTTTGACTAGTTCTGTTATCTTTCCATAGGCCCAGTTACCGCGGGGTATCAATTCTTGTTCAATAAGCACAATTTCGCCGATTCGTGGGTGGTGAGGCGTGTGCCGCGGTTGGTTTAAGTGCCTCTTTTGACTTTCGCGTAGAAGTGTCAGGTATTCTACATTCCAACGGTCCCAGAATTTAGCTGCAGTAGCTTCTGAGAACTCCATTGCTTCATGCGCTTGTAAGGCGGTCTGAATGAGTTCTGGATCATAGTCAGGATCGTTAGCTCGCACGTTAGTGTTTGGGAGTGCATATTTCACGTTGCCCTGTAGAAAGTCTATGGGTCGCAAAGGTATGTCCGCTATATCACTCGAGCTCAACTTTGTGAGCGGGCGAGTGTTTATGATGGCTTCAATTCTTGCCATAACGGTGCTTAACTCAGTGAAGGAAACTTTGCGGCGACCAACAGCTTTAGTAAAACAGCGCTTGACTGAGCCGACTAGCCTTTCCCAAACACCACCCATCCAGGGTGCACCTGGTGGATTAAATATCCACGTTATACCTTCAGTAGCACTGTAATTCATTACAGACTTCTCGCTTCGGTCGTCTTTTTCAAACAATTTTTCTATGATTTTTTGACCGAGCTTGAAATTAGTGTCACAGTCTGTCCTTACGAGTTGTGGTACCCCACGTCGTGAGACAAACCTAACAAAGCTGTTTAGAAATGCGCCTGTTGATAGGTTCTCCACAGCTTCTAAGTGTATGGCCCTTGTAGTTAAGCATGTGTACAGGCATACATACATCTTCTCGTTGTTTTGCGAGTCGATAGGACCCAAAAAATCGCAACCAATCTTTTGGAATGTCTTGGAAATTCGTACTCTATCTTTGGGTAGCGATGGCATCTCTGGAGCGCCGAATGGCAGCCCATGGCATCTTTTACACGTGCTGCAGCTTCTGAGATACTTTATCGCTTTCATGGGTTGAGGTATCCAGTATCGCTGTCGTGCTAGCGCTAAAATGTGGTCATTTCCACAGTGCGCGTTCTTCTGGTGTATGTTTACCAAAATCAATCGAGTCAGTTCGGACGGATTGGGCAGGAATATTGGCGATTTTGTATCGTGAGGCAGTATCGCGTTTTGTAGGCGCGATTCGTGGCGTATTATTCCAAATTCATCTCGGACAATTTTTACATTGCGGAAGCGCTTCTGCAGTTCTTCTATAGATATAGAATGATGTACTGAGGTGATTATCAGTCTTTCGCTGAGCATTATATCTTCCGCTGTAATGTGCTGTTCCGTGCTAAAGTTCTTGATAATAGAGAACTTTTCGGAGTTGAAGCTGCACTTCTGTATCCATTTTTTTGAAGTTTTACCGATTATGGCTACTGTTCTCAGTAGCTTGTTGTAGTTTGAAAAACTTTGCAAATCAATAAATGACTGTATTTCCTCGCTACTGGTGGGTCGCGGTACGGTAGGGTGCGCTTGAATTTCGTCGTCATCGCTCTGTTCGTATTCGGCATTTGCCTCGGTAATTACGCGTAACGACCACTTTTCAGGGTTTTGCGCTAACCACTGTGGGCCTTTTATCCAGGCATGATTTTTCATCGCTGATGCTGATAGACCGCGAGTTCCAGCGTCTGCTGGATTGTCGTTTGTGGAGACGTGGTAGAAGTGTATCTGTTTGTTTTTGCATTCAAAATGATGCTTGAGTCTCAAAATGCGATCTCTTTGACTCGCGACAAACGGCGGCAATTTTCTCATGCTTGGAATCCAAGCGAGAGCGATTTCGCTGTCGTTGGCTATTTTTATGTCCTCGATAGCGTTACCCATTGTATTTACAATGCTCTTTGCTAGTCTGGTGGCTATGAGTATGCTGAGTAGCTCCAATCGCGGTATTGTTTGCACCATTTTCTTGGGCGTAAGACGAGTTTTGCCGCTTATTAGCTGGGAGACTTTTCTAGTTTCAATGCATTGCAGATAGGCGCATGACGCGATAGCTATTTTGCTTGCGTCCGAAAATATCCAAAGGGTGTATCGGCCTTTATCGGGAGTCGGTAGAGCACGTCGCAGAGTTAAATCACAATTGTTTATCTGCTGACACTCCTCATTCCATTTCGAAGCGAAATGGCTAGGAATGGTTTCTTTCCAGTCTAATCCTGTGCTATAGATTTCTCGCATTAGAGATTTCAGTTTCACCAGAAGTGGTCCCGCCATGCCAATTGGATCGTACACTGAGTTTATCTGACTGACGATATCGCGTTTTGTGAGCTTTTCTTTGGACGGGATGTCTACTCTCAAAGCGTAAGTGTCCTCCTCAGTGTCGTAGTTTACTCCCAGAAACTTGATCACCTTACCGTGTAAACGGTCTTTTTCAGGGATGGCTTGGTTGACAAGCTGCGAGTTGGAAATGTACTCGCGTAAGTTCATTCCGATTTCAGCAAATAGCGCTTTTAATTCATGCTATTTTGTCAGCGCTTCTTGAACGGAATTAGCTTTTAGGAGGATGTTGTCCACATACAGATGCGATGCAATCTCTCTTGCTAAGGGTGTGTTTTTCCAGTCCAAAAAGGCGAGAATCACCATGTTCAGGATGCTTGGAGAAGCTGTCAGCCCGAACGGGAGCCTCGTAAATCGATATTCGACGATATTGTCTTTTGTTGGCGCTTTTTCAGTGTCTCGCACCCATAAGAATCTGCATAAGTCTTTGTGAGCGCAACTTAGTCGAATTTGCGTGAAAGCGGCTTCAATGTCGCAAAGCAGAATGATGTGGTCCGATCGACTCGACGTTAGTACATCATGTATTTTGTTCACGAAGGACTCGCCGGTGTAGACCACGTCGTTTAGCGAAAATTGTGTTTTTCGCTTGGAGGACGCGTCAAACACTATACGTAAAGGTACTGCTTTGTTTGGCCGCCAAACGCCTGAGTGTGGCATATAATAGGTGCCGGCTTTATCAAAAATATCATCTTTGGCTACCTCTATTACGTTGTCCTGTATGTATTTGTCAAGAACAATTTTGTACCAACTTCGTTGGTTTTCGTTGTTTTGCAGAAGCTGCCAAAGTGCTAGTAGTCTTCTGTAAGCCAGTGCATAGTTATCACTTAGATCAACTATGCTATCTTTGAGCGGTAGCGGAGCTATCACAACACCGTCTCATTCACATATTTCCAGACCTACTCAAAGAAACTTTCGTTTCTTTGAGTAGGTCTGGAAATATGTGAATGTGCTCTCATCTTTTTGCAACTCTTCTGAGGAAATTCCTAGTCCTTCGAGTTCAAACATTTTCTGGAGCATTTCTGACTCTTTGACATCATTTATGAGAGTTAGCGCGTGGATTGCAGTGTTGGTGATAGTTAGCGATGGTGGAATCGTCCCTTTGCCGTGTATACTCGGTCCAAACACTGTTTTTGTAATGTTCAATCCTGACGGCATTTGTATATTTTCTGCGCTTGGAGGTACCATTGCGAGAAAATAGTCTATACCGATGAGGATCTGCGGGTTTTGAAGTTCACCGCGCACTCGCGGATTGCAGACAACCATTTCTTTTGTTTGCAGGAAATTTTTGTCTTCATCGGACAGCCGAACCGAGGAGAAACCGTTGGTTATGACCGGTTTTGTTTGCCCGGTGAGTATCATCTCTTTGCCATAGGCTGTGCTGACTTTCAGCGTTACGATCTTGCTTTTGAAGTGTTCGGTATGTCCACCAATGCCGGACATCGTGCAATGTTCCGTGTTCTGGGTTGGTAGACAAAATTCTTCAGCAGTACTCTCTTTTATGAGTGTTTTTTGAGCTCCTGTGTCGAAGAAAAACAGGACTTTTTCATACTGATTTGTTCTGTGGTTCCACAGACTGCCTTCCGCGGTCATAAGCACAAATTGTTCTTTGTTTCTGACCGCTTGTGCATTGTCGTTTCCTGTATCAACACATGTGTTGTTTACGACTTGTCTTTGGTTTGTCCTATCTTGGAAGTCGCGTCCATGATTATTGCGCCATTGTGGTCTATTTGCTCTTGTATCATGTCTATCATTGCGATACGCTGACCTTTGATGGTTGTAGTTGCGATTGTTTGTTGCTTGATTCGAATTTCGCTCGTTCATGTTTGGAGCGTTTGAAGATGGGCACAAGGAGACATCATGTAGTCGCCCACATCGAGAACAGTTTGGTTTCATGCAGGCACCAGCACTGTGTTCGCTGGAGAAGCATTTCCAACAAAGATGTTCTTCTTTGACCACGTTTCGTCTTGCAAAGGTGTCGGTTACCGTTCTGCAATTCGATGTCGTATGATTGGACATTTTGCAAAATACACACGTGTTCGTATTTTTTTGGTATAGTACGTTCGTTGTTTGCATAATTACGCTCGCTGTGTGCATAATCAGGGCGTTTTCGTGGTTGTTCTCCTTTCGAGAAATGTTTGAGACGCGAATCCACGTATTTTTTTGCTTCAATTTGCTTGTCTAGAGCTTCCAGTATGTCATCCACTGTGATTTCTTGCAGTTCTTGCGTTGACGTGAGCACGTTTTTCACTATGTTGTATGGAAATTTTTCCAGAATTTTCTCTGTCCAGAGAGCATCTTGCATCTTGCGGATGTCTTGCCCGGCAGAGACCAGTTGGTTTATCAACATGCGTATTTTGTCGTGTGTGTCTGAGCAGCTTTCAGCAGTATTTGTTGCTGGTCGCATATCGACCAATTTTTGCACAACTCTGGCTCTATTTACAGGTCTGTTGCTGTATTTTTTCTTCAGTGTTTCTATCATCCACTGGTAATTTTTTGGTACCATTTCTATTCCTTTCACGGCAATTTCCGCCCTTCCCTTGAGGCTGTCCTTGAGGAACATCATTTTTTCTGTGGTACTTAGGACTTTGTTTTCGTGTACCAGGGTGCTAAAAATGGCCCAATATTCGGCGAATTCCTCTTCGTCGCCATAAAACCTCGGTATTTTGAGCTGTTTTGGTTTCAGAGTTCGACACATCATGTCTTCTGACTCTACGACGCTATTTATCAATAGGTCTTCGGATAACCATGCCCCTGCATTGGCGGAGAACTCTCTATCTTCTCCGTTGATTTCACCTTTCATTGCTGCATCGCTAGGTGTCGATACCGTTTCGGTATGTACTGGCATATCCAGCTTCTTTGCAAGTCTCTTCGCTTTCGTGCGAGTTTCGTTCAACCGCGCTTTTAGCACGTACATTGTGTCGTTAGCAGCCGCGATTTTTTCGCTGTATTGCGTGTCTTTGTCGATTTCTTCGATTTCAGCTAGCAGTTCTTTACGATTACCTTTTACGTTTAGGTCGTCGAACTGCTTATCCAGCTTGTCTACCAAGATCTGGAGTGCGTCTCTGCTCTCCCTGATGAGCTCAATTCCTCCGCTGATCAGGTCTGCAGCATTGTAAAGCTCATCGAGCTGTTTGGTCTCGTTTCCGCTGGTCGAGACTCCTTCGGAGTAACCTCTGTACTTTTCCACCAAGGTACCCAAGGATTTAGCACTGTATGCTATTGGTTTTTTGTGTAATGTGAATGCCATTATCACTTTTTGCTTTTTTTTGGCTTAAGTGCTTTGCTTTCGCTTTAACTTACAGCCTACTTTATTGTAGCGTATGTGTTGCCAGGTATGATAGCCTGGGCTTTTTGTTGCTAGGTATGATGTCCTAGTCTTTATTGCCAGGGAAATGCTGGACTTGTGCTAGGTATGATGGCCTAGACTTTTTCGATTCAATAAAGAATCTCGACCAAAAAAAAGGATTTTTTTTGACCGATGCACCAAAATGTGCCAAACGGTGGTTCAGACTTTTACAAAAAGGATTTATTCGGGAATATAGCAATAATATAACAACAATGACGTCCTTTTTACCCGGACCAGGTGCAAATTGATGGATGCGAAAGAGACATGCTTATCACTCCCAGCCCCCTGCTTTTATAGCAGGGGAGCTGGGCAAACAGTTCTATCGGGAGCCTGCCGAAGAGGTCGCCATGTCGGCGACAAACGCCTCAATTAGACGCCGCTTATGCGGGCTGCTGGTCCTTTCGTCTTACTGTTGTACATCGTGTTGGGACCAGTAGTCCGCGGAGGCGGTGCCAAATTGAGGCGTTCATTCCTCCACCCGGTTGAACCTCTTCAAAAGAAACGAGGACCCTCGAACAACTTCGCTAATCGTCCATCTTGCAAGCAGGAAAGACCAAATACAATATCATCGGCTGCTAGACTTATCCGGTTCGGGAAGTTGCGGGAAGTTTCTCACCCGAGCCATATTCTCGCACCTAAGTGATGTGCCTGCCAGGCACATTCGGGCTTGCTATAATTACGAGCTCCTCAGGAGACCAAGACATCGCAAGCCCCGCCCCCTTATTCAGTGCTGCTCCAAATGATGAAACCGGAATTTCAAAGAAAATTTCGAAATCGAAATTCAAAAGTGAATATGCTCCAATCAAGATCAAATTTCGGATTCAAGGGTTTTCAAGGCTGCTCTTTTCATTGGTGGTACCTGTTTGTTGCAAAATCAACGTTCAGCATTGCTAATGCTTTACCAAGATCAAAATTCGGATTCAGAGTTTTTCGAAATTTTCTTTTCCAAATCAAGACCAAAGCTCAGATTTACGGGTTTTCAAAATCGCTTTTTCCATAACAATATATGTTTTGTGCAATAACAATAGCGATTTGACTTTTCAAACAATTTTTGGAGGCTGAGATGTTTCAAAAACTGAATTAATTCCATAGAACTAGTGCCAGATGCGGGGGTACATATGTGAATCCGTAGTGATTTCCTTCCCTGGATTCAGTCTTGAGAATATGTCAAGGTGCGGCGCTGATAATGACCTAGCCGAGGATTTCTTAGAACCTGATATATCAAAGGTCACTGAGGTCATCAAGGTTGGCTGAATGCCAGAAAGCTTCATAGCAGACCTAGAAAGCTCGCAGTAGTAGTGTCAGACAGTAGACGAAAACATCTTTATTATTGTGAAAACAACGAAATTCAAATTTGGTTCTGGTTTTGGTTTTGGTTGGTCTGGTTTGCGGGAAATTTTCAGTATTTTAAGCACTCAATAAATCACATGGAAAAGCCACGAAGTCTAACAAACGACTGAGAGAAGAAAACAGCATCGCGGGAAAAGGTTCATTGCAAAATTATTGTGTGCCACTTCCAAAAATTAAAAAATGTATTGAAAAAATTATATTGCTTTCACATCAACTTCCAACGCAAAACTATAAGTGTGCCATAAAAGAGTATTCATGGCATAGTTTTGCATAAAATTTAGTCCTGAATACAGATCAATATTTGATTTAGGGGTTTCCGAGGTCTCCTTTTCAAAACAAGACTGATTCAAGTTTACCTGTTCTCGAAAAAATGGTTGTACCTGTAATGGCTTTTTCCCAAATTTAGTTTAAGAATATAACCCGTAAAGGTTTTCTTTAGGCAAAAAAGTCGCAGAGGTCACCGGAAACAACCGCTGCAATTTTGGATTTTAAATAAACTCGGGTTATTTTGAAATTTCGGAAATTTCTTTGTAGTTGAATTTAACTTATTCCACCGTAAGAATAATACAACGCGCGTCAGTTCAAAATTAGCTTCAGTCTATTTTGATAAAACCATAATCTGGTATTTATGACTAAATTTCAAGCAAATCCGAATTTTGATCTCCGCTAGGCATTCTCGTTGCTAAACGTTGTCTTTGCAACAAACAAGTACCACTGACGAAAAGGGCAACCTCGAAAACCCCTAGATCCGTTTGGTCTTGATTGGAGCATATTCACTTTTGAACTTCGATTTCGAAATTTTCTTTGAAATTCCGGTTTCATCATTTGGAGCAGCACTGAATAAGGGGGCGGGGCTTGCGATGTCTTGGTCTCCTGAGGAGCTCGTAATTATAGAGAGCCCGGATGTACCTGGCAGGCACATCACTTAGGTGCGAGAATATGGCTCGGGTGAGAAACTTCCGCCCCCCATGCTTTCCTTACAGGACCACTGCCGCGCGCGAGACACCCTTCGGCGGCTTTCGCCTAAGCAGAAATAGGGTAGGGAGATTTACCGCGTGCAATACACCCTTCGGCGGCTTTTGCCTAAGCAGAAATAGGGGGAGAGAGATTTGCCGCGAGCGTTACACCCTTCGGCGGCTTTTGCCTAAGCAGAAACAGGGGGCGGGAGATTTGCCGCGTGCAATACACCCTTCGGCGGCTTTTGCCTAAGCAGAAATAGGGTAGGGAGATTTGCCGCGTGCGATACACCCTTCGGCGGCTTTTGCCTAAGCAGAAACAGGGGGAGTGAGATTTGCCGCGTGCAATACACCCTTCGGCGGCTTTTGCCTAAGCAGAAATAGGGGGAGAGAGATTTGCCGCGAGCGTTACACCCTTCGGCGGCTTTTGCCTAAGCAGAAACAGGGGGCGGGAGATTTGCCGCGTGTGTTACACGTTGGGACGGGTTATCAGGATGGCGCTGGAGACCGCCATGCAAAACGACGTTTCCCCATTTCATGAATATCTGGGATCTAAATTGGCCCTGTCCATTCAAATCCTGCAACTCACCATAACTTCACTAATGCGTTATGACAGCGAGCAAGTTTCATGTTCATAAGCAGTATACTTGTGAACCGTTACAGGTAAGGTTTTGAGCAAATCTGGAACTTCGACCCATCTACACCCACGGTAACCCAAGAAAATGCACTATGCTGCGAAATCAGCATGATATTCATGTTCAGCGCGCTAAATTACCACCCTAGACAAAGTTTAAAGCAAATCTATGTTTTCGACCCCATGCCCTATAACCACCACAACTCTATGAAAAGGTCCCAATATGCAGAGAGAGAGAGAGAGAGAGAGAGAGAGAGATGATATTCGTGATTAGCATGTCGAATAAACCATATAGACCGAACTCCAGTCGAATTCGTGATTTTGACTTCCTAGCCTATGACACCCGCCGGGGCCCGAAGTGTATGTGTGCCAAGTTTGGTCCCGATCGGTTCAGAAATGGAATTTTCTATTCGGAACATACGTACACACAGACATACAGACAGACAGACAGACAGACATACAAACAGACATTCAGCTTTATATATATATATCTTATATATAAAGCTGAATGTCTGTTTGTCTGTCTGTCTGTCTGTCTGTCTGTCTGTATGTATGTATGTACGTATGTTCCGAATAGAAAATTCCATTTCTGAACCGATCCGGATCAAACTTGGCACACATACACTTCGGGCCCCGGCGGGTGTCATAGGCTACTTTTCGTCATCGATCGATATCGATTTTATCGATTTTTATCGATTTTTTTGCTGAGTTCACCTACGGGGCTGGGAGTTTGCACAGGGGGGTAATCGAGCATGCTGATTACGAATACAATATTTGTTTTCAGGATTATCGATTACTTTTATCGATTTTATCGATTTTTTTGCAAAGTTTGAGCTACGGGGCTGGGAGTTGGCACAGGGGGGTAATCGAGCATGGGGATTCCGAATACAATATTGGTTTTCAGGATTATCGATTACTTTTATCGATTTTATCGATTTTTTTGCAAAGTTTGAGCTACGGGGCTGGGAGTTCGCGCAGGGGGGTAATCGAGCATGGGGATTCCGAATACAATATTGGTTTTCGGGATTATCGATTACTTTTATCGATTTTATCGATTTTTTGCAAAGTTTGAGCTAGGGGGCTGGGAGTTGGCACAGGGGGGTAATCGAGCATGCTGATCATCCCCAAGGGGGGTGATCAGCATGCTCGAACACCCCTGTGCCAAATTCCAGCCCCCTAGCTCAAATTTTGCAAAATCGATAAAATCGATAGAAGTAATGGATAATTCCAAAAACTAATATTGTATTCGTAATCTGCATGCTCGATTACCCCCCTTTGCAAACTCCCAGCCCCGCAGGTCAAACTTTACAAAAAAATTGATAAAATCGATAAAAGTAATGGACGATCCTGAAAACTAATATTGTGTTCGTAATCAGCATGCTCGATTACCCCCCTGTGCAAAATCCCAGCCTCGCATGTCAAAATTTACAAAAAATCGATAAAATCAATAAAAGTAACCGATAATTCTGAAAACTAATATTGTATTCGGAATCCCCATGCTCACTTCCCCCCTGTGCCAACTCCTAGCCCTGTAGGTGAACTCTGCGAAAAAATCGATAAAAATCGGTAAGATCGACATCGATCGATAACGAAAAGTGGACTGTGACACGCGCCGGGGCCCGAAGTGTATGTGTGCCAAGTTTGGTCCGGATACGGCGGAGCCGGGTAAGCCAGCTAGTAAGATATAAAGCTGAATGTCTGTTTGTCTGTCTGTCTGTATGTATGTATGTTCCGAATAGAAAATTCCATTTCTGAACCGATCGGGACCAAACTTAGCACACATACACTTCGGGCCCCGGCGGGTGTCATAGGTCCCCGTGGGGGTGATCAGCATGCTCGATTACACCCCTCTGCCAAATTCCAGCCCCCTAGCTCAAATTTTGCAAAAAAAACGATAAAATCGACATCGATCGATAACGAAAAGTGGACTGTGACACCCGCCGGGGCCCGAAGTGTATGTGTGCCAAGTTTGGTCCGGATCGGTTAAGAAATGGAATTTTCTATTCGGAACATACGGCGGAGCCGGGTAAGCCAGCTAGTATAAGATAAGAAAATCCACAGTCACAAAATGACGCCAAATTTTGCAATGATATAGCAGAGCATCTCCAAAATACAGATAAATCATATGGGTCCGTGAAAAACATTACAAAAAGATTTAGAAATTCATGATGGTTACAGCTGGTAAA